ACTAGAAAAGGGCTGCCCTTCTAGCATCCAGCCTGTTACTGGGTTTTCGTAACAAGTAGTCAGTATCCTTGTCCAATTATCCATTAAAATTTTTGTATTATTCAATAGTGCTTCAGGATTAAAAACTGGTAGGCTACTAACTAGAGAAATTAAAATTTAATAAATTTATTAAGTCTATAGGTTGTCTAGAGGTATATTATTAAAGTAAATTAAATCACATCAATCAAAATAAAATCAATCTCTCGAGTTCAATATTATTGTGCTGAAAGCACATATCACATTTATAATTCTTAAGTACCGTCAGGTACATTAACATTTAATAAGATATTACAAATATGTACAAATGTTCGTCTGTTAAGACAACAGACTGAAAGATCACAGGACCCATTTAATGTGCAGAAAGCTGCATCCATGGTTCCTAAGTTTTTTGAAAGTGACTTAGACACATATTTTGATGTGTTTGAGAACCAGGCTCGTGCTATGAACTGGCCACGTAAGCACTGGGCAACATTGCTTCATACTGCTTTGACGGGAAGAGCTCAAACTTGTACGGCTGCTTTGCCATTTGCTAAGTACATTAGTTATGACGCTGTCAAACAAACTATTCTAGAGACATATAACTTGTTACCTGTAAGTTATCAAAGAGCATTTCGTACGTTACAACGACGAAAAGATCAAACTTGTGTAGAGTTTGCTCGTGAGAAAAAAGTTGCATTTGAGAGATGGACTAGAGCTGCTAAGTGTAACACAGTAGGAACAGTAGCAACAGTAGCAGTAGCAACAGTAGCAGTAGCAACAGTAGCAGTAGCAACAGTAGCAGTAAGAACAGTAGCAGTAACAACAGTAGCAGTAGGAACAGTAGCAACAGCAACAGTAGCAACAGTAGCAGTAGCAACAGTAGCAACAGCAACAGTAGCAGTAGCAACAGTAGCAGTAGCAACAACAACAGTAGCAACAGTAGCAGTAGCAACAGTATCAGTAGCAACAGTAGCAGTAGCAACAACAACAGTAGCAGTAGCAACAGTAGCAGTAGCAACAGTATCAGTAGCAACAACAACAGTAGCAACAGTAGCAGTAGCAACAGCAACAGTAGCAACACCAACAGTAGCAACAGTAGCAGTAGCAACAACAACAGTAGCAACGGTAGCAACAGTAGCAACAGCAACAGTAGCAGCAGCAACAGCAGCAACAGTAGCAACAGTAGCAACAACAACAGTAGCAACAGTAACAGTAGCAACAACAACAGTAGCAACAGCAGCAACAGCAACAGTAGCAAAAGCAACAGCAGCATCAGTAGCAACAACAACAGTAGCAACAGTAGCAGTAGCAACAGTAGCAACAGTAGCACTAGCAACAGCAACAGTAGCAACATCAACAGTAGCAACAGCAACAGTAGCAACAGTAGCAGTAGCAACAGCAACAGTAGCAACAGTAGCAGTAGCAACAGCAACAGTAGCAACAGCAACAGTAGCAACAGTAGCAGTAGCAACAACAACAGTAGCAACAGCAACAGTAGCAACAGTAGCAGTAGCAACAACAACAGTAGCAACAGCAACAGTAGCAACAGTAGCAACAGCAACAGTAGTAACAGTAGCAGTAGCAACAACAACAGTAGCAACATCAACAGTAGCAACAGCAACAGTAGCAACAACAACAGTAGAAACAGTAGCAGTAGCAACAACAACAGTAGCAACAGCAACAGTAGCAAACAGTAGCAACAGTAGCAGTAGCAACAACAACAGTAGCAATAGCAACAGTAGCAACAGCAACAGTAGCAACAGTAGCAGTAGCAACAACAACAGTAGCAACAGCAACAGTAGCAACAACAACAGTAGCAACAGCAACAGTAGCAACAGTAGCAGTAGCAACAACAACAGTAGCAATAGCAACAGTAGCAACAGCAACAGTAGTAACAGTAGCAGTAGCAACAACAACAGTAGCAACAGCAACAGTAGCAACAGCAACAGTAGCAACAGTAGCAGTAGCAACAACAACAGTAGCAACAGCAACAGTAGCAACAGCAACAGTAGCAACAGCAACAGTAGCAACAGTAGCAGTAGCAACAACAACATAGCAACAGCAACAGTAGCAACAGCAACAGTAGCAACAACAACAGTAGCAACAGTAGCAGTAGCAACAACAACAGTAGCAACAGCAACAGTAGCAACAGCAACAGTAGCAACAACAACAGTAGCAACAGTAGCAGTAGCAACAACAACAGTAGCAACAGCAACAGTAGCAACAGTAGCAACACAACAGTAGCAACAGTAGCAACAGCAACAGTAGCAACAGTAGCAACAGCAACAGTAGCAACAGTAGCAACAGTAGCAACAGTAGCAACAGTAGCAACAGCAACAGTACCAACACCAACAGTAGCAACAGTAGCAACAACAACAGTAGCAACAGCAACAGTAGCAACAGTAGCAGTAGCAACAGTAGCAACACCAACAGTAGCAACAGCAACAGTAGCAACAGCAACAGTAGCAACAGTAGCAACAGC